GGAGCCCAATGCAGGACTTGATCCCGGGACTCCAGGATCATGACCTGAGCTGAAGGCAGTCGCTTAACCAACTGAGCCACCCAGGCGCCCTGTGCATACATTCCTAAGGAGAATGATCACAATTTTGTTTATGGATAATATTGTTTTATTACCATATAAGAACAATGAGCATTTTGTTGCCTTTCTTGTTACAGCAGCACATTAAATCATTGTCTGGAGATAGTATGTTGGGTGTTCTTTTTGCTCAGTCTCCACTGCATTTGTATGAAATAGATTTTCCAACCCAAAATACTCATAACACTCTCTACCCTGCTACAAATCACATACTGAATGTAATATTCTACACTACTAGCACTGAATAATATTCATACGGACAGCATTTCTGGATTCATGTACCTTTAACATTCTTTCAACTCTTATAGATTAGTATATATGCCTATATGGGTGTATTCACCTGTATTTGTTAATTTTTTTTTTATTTTTTAAAAGATTTTATTTATTTATTTGACAGAGAGAGACACAGCGACAGAGGGAACACAAGCAGAGGGAGTGGGGGAGGGAGAAGCAGGCTTCCTGCGGAGCAGGGAGCCCAATGCAGGGCTCCATCCCAGGACCCTGGGATCATGACCTGAGCCGAAGGCAGACGCTTAACGACTGAACCACCCAGGCGCCCCGTATTTGTTAATTTGTATATAATTCATCCTCTTAGTAATTTTTTTCACTCCTACTGATAAAACCTTACCTTAGATGTTCGTAAACATCTTTGTTTAAAAGACTTTTTACTTTGGTAAAGTCTTCATTTCCAGAAAGAGAATGAATATGTGGTTAATTTTGTCTTATTCTTTCTCAGTCCCTTCTTCTTGTCTTATTTTTGTCCTTGTGCCTTCTAATGTTGGTCTAACATAATTATCAGTAAATTTAATTGACAATATCAAATCGAGACATTTAAAACTAAAAATTTTCTTAACACCTGTACTATTTAATTTATGCATATATAAACCTTCTATGTCAAAATCTCCAAGAGTTTCCTCTTTAAAATGATTTGTTTCAGCCAGCTGGAATGTGTAGTTTTTACTTGGACTGTATTGAGAGCAAATAAATCTGAATATTAATTATTCCCTCAGTAGCAGATTCTTTTCCAAACTATGTCAATGCAATATATTAAAAATATTCAGCTTTGAGGAGTACACATTGAAGCTAAATGTGGACTTCAGAGACATTTCTTTCTCTAATCCTGCAAATCATATGTAATGGTTTACATAAGCACAGAAATCTTTGTACATTCACTGTATCTATGAAATATTCCAGGAAAATCATGGTTAGGGCTTATCTTACTAGAATAGCATTATCTAAAATGGAACTTAAATGGCTATTAGAGGAAGTGAGATACTATGATGCACTGTGAACTTTGGCTTGCTCTTCTTAGAGCAGATGTCTTCCTAAGGGTATAGGTGGAGAATCATTTTACCCTATGTGTGAAGTAGAAACTGACTTCTTCCTATTTTCCTTGAGTAAACATACTATTACTTCCAGAACTGAGAAATTTTAGGTCTAAAGGCTGTTACTTGGTTCAGTCTATTATTTGTAGAAAAAGAAAAAAAAATCCTATCCTCTTTATATTGTCTAATTAAAGTCCAGAAGAATCTGACACTTGGGGAAAAAAGCAGAACCAGAAGGGAAAGAGGATCTGTTCTTGACAGGAGGTATTGTTTCCTTTCTTAACTTTCATGGAACACACTAAAAGAGTATTTAAAATCGCCACATGTAGTTTGTCCCTTCCAGCTGGACATGGCACCAGTCCAGAGAATAATGATGACATGAGCAAGGTGATTTTAAAGGGACCCACATAAGCTGATCTCTTTTTTCTGCAGATGACACAAATAGAAAGCTTTGAGCAAGAGTGGAAAGACACACTATCACTTGCCTTTCCCCTCTGAAGAAGCTGGGACACATTCTGCTCAGCCAACGTGTTCCCAGAGGAATGTGATTTAACTTCCACTTTTCACACAGTGAGAAGCAACACTGGAGACCTGTCGGGAGGGTGATAGCAGCCTGGGAGGAATTTGGATAAGTGTTTTTCACTCCAGTGTTTTCATGTGACTTGACTCTCATCTCAATTTAGTTACATCTTGACCTGGAAAATGCTGCCAATGTTTGCCTTTCTTCATTTGGCTTACCTTGATTCATTATATGCATATCCCTCCTTTCCCTACTCCCACCCTATGCAGCCTTTCCCCCAAAACCTACTAATAGACTTTCTCTAGATGTTTACACATGTATTAACTCTGTTTCCCTCAGTAGGAGCTTTACTTCCAGGGAGGGAAAATGTATTTGGGTCCTTGAAATATATACAAAGAATATTCACCTAAAGCACCCTAAGATGTTCCCTACTCCTTTTGCCAGATCTGACTATTCATATATCTGGCAGCTTCTTTAAGAACCCTCTGGTAGCAGAGAAATTAATACTTCTTACTTCTCCCTAGCTTTTTTTCCCTCCCCCCTCCATCAAACGACTGATTTTTATGCATGAGACAATAGACAAGCCTTGGGTGACCTGTTTTTCTCCCCCTCCCCCCTTCCTCTTTTTTCCTTGCGGTAAAATAGTGCTGAAGAAAGAGGGCACTAGTGTACAGCCCAGATCGCATCCTTGCACCGTCTGGATTAGAGCTGAGGCGTCTGCGAACCGAGCGTGGCCCGAGCGGTGTTCTGGCCCGAGAACCATTGTGCTGTCTACCCGGACTCAGGTACGTCTCAAGTCCAATTCTCCAAGCAGACCCAGGTGAGCAGACACCTCCGGGAGGTGAAACCCACCCACAGTGGCAGACACAGTCCCAATCTATGGGATTTCCTCCTGGTCCCAGGGGCATCTCCGCTTATTTCTTTTAGTCCAGCATCCCTGGGAAGCGTCGGGACCCATGGATGCCTGGGTTGTCTTCCTCCTTTTGCCTGGCTCACCTCCTGTGCTCTTGCTCCTCGCCCGCTCCCGTAGCTCCTTTCTCGTCCGACTCTCACCTTGAGAAAGGGAGCTGGGGAGGAACGAGAGGGAGCCAACTTCAGCCCCACAGGCGGCTGAGATTTGGCGCGTCTGCCCCCGAAGCGGGCGGTTTTGAATATACCTGCAGGAGCACTGCCTCCAAGGAGAAGAGAATGAGAATGGAGGGGTGGTGGGAGACAAGGGGAGGTGTGTGTGTGTGTGTGTGTGTGTGTGTGTGTGTGTGTGTGTGTGAGAACGCAGGGAGGAGGGTTAAAAGAGCGAAGTCGGGGGTTGGGAGGGGGTCAAAGAATTGCAAAAGGCGTCCCCTCCAGGCGCACCGGGGGAATGTTTCTGCAGCGGGACTGAGCACTGTCCAGGGTTCTGAAGAAGGCAGCGCTTGAGCTACCGCTGCAAGAGCTACCCAGAAGCTCCCCTCCGCTCCCTTTCTAGAAACGTGCAAAGCCAAAGGTCCCGATTTAGGCGAGTGCAGGGGCTCCCTACACCACCTCCCTCCATCCTCCATCGTGGGAAACAAATTACCTTATCTGCACCCTTTCTCCCTGAACATCTACAGTAAGCCTGACTTCTTGGGTGTGTGTGGGGTTTGGGGGGGGCGGGGGTGTGGGAGACATACCAAATTCCGACATGCCGAGACTTTACCAGGCGTTGCCTTAGTAACTAATATGGATTTCCTCAACCTGGCAAATTATATTTACTACTTGGGTTGTATGTTGAGATCTCTTCAACCCCTCAAAGTTGAAGATGCATTCCTTTTTTGCGTTCATCTTGAAGTACTGTTTACACTCCTTCATAATGAGTTTCCAAATTTCTTCTGGAAAAAGTTGATCTTTTCAAATCCGAAAAGTTCTTTTGAGTTAAAAGCCTTAGCTCCTCCTCTCCTTTATTCCCTTTCCCCGTCAAGTCTGTAAGTGTAATGGGTATTTGGGGGACCTGGAAAAGGCTTGAAGCTGAAGGAAGGGGCAGGTCGGCAGGGCTTTGCGCCTCCAGGGACGGATGAGGGCACTGCGGGCAGGACGCACCACCTTCCGCCTTGACCATAGCTGCCTCCCAAGCTGTCCCTCCAGCCGATATCATGATGTGCTGGAATGAAATAGGCCGGGCAACTATTAACATCACGGACCCGGAGTTTTGAAACAGGTCCTGTGATAACGGAGCTTTGATTTTCTTTCTTTTTTGTTGGCAGCGTCCAGCTCACGGCTGCCACCACGGCGTCCATTGTACTCTTGACCAGTTTACTTTGATGCACCAGTGAAGAAGGGGGCTCGAATTCCCCTAGAAACGCCTCCAGGACAAGGAGGTGGTCCTGGAGGACCAGGAGGAGGAGGAGGAGGGGAAGGAGGCAGGGGTGCAGGCGGCGAAAGTGTTGGACCAGCGGTGTTGGCAAGCAGGAACGAGCTGGGAGAGGCAGGCGTCGGGCATCTGTCTACGTTGCGAGCCCGCAGAGCCGGCTGGCAGGACCAGCGTGGGAACGCGGCTGGCCGGCTGTGGACGGCGTCCTCAGCACAATGGTCCGGCTCCTCTTGGTTTTTTTCCCAGCGATCTTTTTGGATATGTCCCTTCTTCCCAGGGGACCCGGTAGGAAAGTGTTGCTGGCGGGAGCCTCATCTCAGCGCTCGGTGGCCAGAATGGACGGAGATGTCATCATTGGGGCCCTCTTCTCAGTCCACCACCAGCCCCCGGCGGAGAAGGTGCCCGAGAGGAAGTGTGGAGAGATCAGGGAGCAGTATGGCATCCAGAGAGTGGAGGCCATGTTCCATACATTGGATAAAATTAACGCAGACCCGGTCCTCCTGCCCAATATCACTCTGGGCAGTGAGATCCGGGACTCCTGCTGGCACTCCTCCGTGGCTCTGGAGCAGAGCATCGAGTTCATCAGGGACTCTCTGATTTCCATTCGAGATGAAAAGGATGGGCTCAACCGGTGCCTGCCTGACGGCCAGTCCCTCCCCTTAGGCAGGACTAAAAAGCCTATCGCCGGTGTGATCGGCCCAGGCTCCAGCTCCGTAGCCATTCAAGTGCAGAACCTGCTCCAGCTCTTCGACATCCCCCAGATTGCCTATTCTGCCACAAGCATCGACCTGAGTGACAAAACTTTGTACAAATACTTCCTGAGGGTTGTCCCTTCTGACACTTTGCAAGCAAGGGCAATGCTTGACATAGTCAAACGTTACAATTGGACCTATGTCTCTGCAGTCCACACAGAAGGTAGGCATTGCATTTGGGAAGGAAAGGTACAGAGAAAGCGAGTACATTGCATGATGTGCGGTCGTGATCGTAGTATTGTCCCTATTTATTAACAGCACTGTGGGGAACAGATTTTACCCTTGTCAGTACACGCCCACCAAGGTTTTGCCTTTTATCCTCATTCTGTAATGATAGTGTATGAAAACTGTGTCCCACTGTGTTTTGGGGATAGTAGGAGTCTTATCAGATACAAACTCTCCATGAACAGCGTCCAACTGAGTCTCATTCTGAGTTTGTGTTTGAAAGGCTTGTTTGCCCAAAGTGGTATACTACCCTTAATTAAGCGACTGGCTATGATTTTCCAAGCTTAATAGACTAATCCAATATGAGCAATTAGGAAAACAAAAAAACAAAAACAAAAAAACTTGTTGTCCCCTAAATTGGGCTTGAAAGCTGATCTTGTCTTGAACAGCTGAAGGTTCTTCTTTGTCTTAATGTGCCCCTTCTTTCACATCCAGAGCTTACCTGTGAATGTTGGATTAATGCAGTCATCTCCCTCAGTATATCAGAAACTTATTTCAAATTCTGGAGTATCTTAGATACAATGGAAAAGTAAATAATTTAAATCATTTATTTATTTTCTATTACTTATGTTAAAATTGTCCAGATGCCCTCACTCCTCCCAAGAATTTTCTTGTTTTTGAGAAATAACACTGGTGACTTCTTGGATTTGAGTTTCGGTTTCTAATTTTTTTCTTCTTACACAGTGACTTTGCTCATTAGAATTTAGTTAGATCAATTACTAATAAAAGGATAGTAGATATTAGTTTTAAAATGGCTTTTAAAAATGAAATAGATTTACTTGAGGTTTAAAACTTTGATTTTTATAGAATCTTACTTTCATGAATTCTCAAAGTATTTCTTATAAAGATTTCCCTTACTCTCCTCCTCTTAGCCTGTATAGATTTGGGGATAAAATGAGACTTTTGAATCATCTATTCTTAACTCACTTATTATGTTTATAAAGAAACTGATTAAACATTAATACCTAGGACAATTCACATATATATATATATATATATATATATGCTGGCATATGGAAGAGAATCTTGAGGATATTGCTGCATTTATATTTCTTAATGTCAAATTATTAAAAGAAAAGCCAGGAAAGAAAGGCATGATTTCATATTCTTTTAACAGTTACACAATATTCAGTTACTGGTGTGAAATCTGATTTTAGAAATTAAGAAGCATTGTTACTGAAGTGGTTATATGGTGATTGTTAATGAAAGCCAGTGCTTTAATTTATAAAGGGAGCAGTTTTCAGGACAAACAAAAATAATGTAGAATTATACATTATAATTTCAGAGTTTGCTTTTGGGGAAAAAACAACTTCCTGCTGCAATATTGTGACTTCTAACAACTGACTCAAATTTCCGAATCTTCATTTTTAATAGTGAATGGCATACCTCTTTTTTAACAAAATCTCATATAACTTTTTTAAGACACAATTTTAAGTTCAAATGTTAATCTCTTACATATTAATGTCTAATGTTAATTTCCTGTGTTTTAATGTTTAACATAGTTTCCTCTAGTGCTTAGGTGGAACAACTTGAAAGCACAAATTAAAGATGTGTTAGTTATCAGCATTAGACCTCTCTAAAAGGGAATGGCAAAATCTAGATGGAATGTGACTTACTTGAATATTAAATAATTCTCCCTCCATTGAGCTAGGTCATTGTTTATAGACATAAGAAGTATAAATTCCTCCTTTAAGAAGTAATACTTCGGGGAGCCTGGGTGGCTCAGTTGGTTAAGCAACTGCCTTCGGCTCGGGTCATGATCCTGGAGTCCCAGGATCGAGTCCCGCATCCGGCTCCCTGCTCAGCAAGGAGTCTGCTTCTCCCTCTCCCGCTCCCCACTCTTGTGCTCTTTCTCTCTCTCACTCTCTCTCTCAAATAAATAAATGAAATCTTTACAAAAAAAACCTAATTCATTATATAAAAAAAAAGAAGTAATACTTCATCACTTTTATACACTAGTTTTATTTTCCATATTTTAATATAATACCATTTTATTTTGGGGTAGAGAAGAGTAGAGAAAAGACAATTTTCAATTTGTTTTCCAGTTGCATCACTTTGCTAAAAATAATTACTAATAGTGGGTTGCTTTCTGACAAGTAGAATTATGTTTTTGGAAAATTAATTGGACTTGTGTTTGCCAATTTTGTTCAGGAAGGGCTCATATTAAAATTTCACCCTTACATTAGTTTGGATTACTTTGTTTCCTTTCTACCTTCTGACTGACATGTGTGGCAGAGAAAATGTCTCCATACTATTATAGTAGTTGATTCCAGACTACGTGTTCATAGAACAGCATCAGAGCTAATTTTGGTGTCTATTACCAAGAGTTTATGCCATTCACCTTGCCTTTTTTATACGATCTCATATCTTCTAAAGGAGAATTTGTTTCTTTTCTTATTAGACATAATATCTGTGGACACTAAATTGATTTTATTTTCTTCTATCTGCAAAGAAAGATAACAGTCTCTTTTGTATAAGCTCCAGCTGAAAATTCATTTTTTCTGAGGTTCTGCCCTCCTGCTTCTCAGGGACCCATGGTGTACTGGCCTGCAGGCATTTTCTTGCATCATTTAGTAATTTTCCTGGCTTCAGACTGATGGGGTCACTTACTGGTGACAGTTCCTTGTCAAAAAGCTGCTAAGACCACATATCAGTGTTGTCTCTGCCATCTGGGCACTATTCAGGAAGGAGGCCAGTTTGGGTATTAGCAATTTGTAGCTTAGAAATTCTGGAACCTTCCGTGACCTTCACCTCTCCTTTCCAAATTAGCCATTCTCTAGTCAATTTATCATCATATATATATATTTTTTAAATTAGAAGTTAGGCTAGTACAGTTAACATCAAAAGTACTAAGTGACTAGGCTAGCATGTCTTCATTTTCATGGTTAATTTTGATGGACTTTACAATCACAGTTGGGGCATCCTATTATTTGAATGCCCCAATTGTTTTTATATCCCTTTATTATTTTATTTTATATTGAAGTTAAGCTTGGAGATATTTTCTGTTTGTTTATTTAAATGAGCTAGAGTTCAGTTGTTATATTCTTTTGCATGCTTTTCAATCTTTCACCACATCACCTGTGCCACCCTTATCCTTTGGGTCATGACAACGTCAGTTTACCTGACATAAAACAGAATTGGTGTACATGTAGTTACCTACAGTAGGCTCTCCAGAAAATTTCCAGGATTAGTTCTTGAGAATATTGAGGTAGGATCTGTTGAAGGGTGGGCACTGAAACAATGGAGCCTTATTCACAAATAAAAATTGAGTGCATTTTGGAGCAAGCTACTCACCTGGAGTATGTGTCTTTAAATATGCTAAGCATAAAATACAAAAATAGCCTACTTCTGTGAAGAATATCTTGGCCAAGGACATTGTATTTCATCCTCATGATGAAATGCAGATTCTCCATCAAGAATCAAATTTACCATTTCAAAAAGTTATAGAAAGCAGTACTTTAAAATAATTCTAGTTGATTACATTAAAAGCATTGAACAAGTCCAATAAAGAATATTCCTTGAGTTTGTAGCTTCAAAAAGGTTTTTTTTTTTTTTTGATTGGATACATTTTCACTTGTTTTAAGCCATTCTCTCTCAGTATTTTGTTTTATAGTGTCAGATGAGTATTGTTACAATAAAGGGTTTAATTATGCTCCTATACAGTGCCCTTCACTATACGGTGCTTTTTTGTTTGCAGTTACGTTTTCATTGTGGTGCACCTTTTTTTGATGCTTGCTTACATTTTACATGAAATTGGCCTTTTTGGGGGATCTTTTCAAAATATCATCTTTTTTTTTTCTTAGAAGCCTTTTTCTACTTGATATAAAACTTACTTTAAAAGTCTAATTGCATCAGAGGAAAATACTCCGAAGTCAGTGAACTATTACTTTAGCTAATGAAGGTAGAAATAAGAATTTTATTTCTACTAAATATCATATTTTCTACATATGCACCAGCAACTTTCTTTATATTTTTCTTATCTTGATTCCAACCTATTTCACAGTAAGTTACCTTAATAAATTGCTCTATTTTACCACAAAATAAGGAATGGGAGTGTCTTCACAGGTATTTAGGTCAACCAGTTAAAGATGTTTAAAACGCCACTAAATTTGCCAAAAAGTAGTTCCCATATGCTCTGAGTTTCCTATTTATGATTAGGATTTCTAATGAGAATGGGAGAATATAGGATTTAAAGTCAGAAGTGAATTTCACCTATTAGTCAGCTTTCTATATAATGACCTGACTCCCTGAAATTTCCACTAATTCTCCATCAACTACTGGGAGTCATCCAAAACAATTTAAATTCCTCTTCCATGTGATATTTGTCATCAATAAATCCTCTCCCGTTTATGCTATACCTCACCAGTTCTCTCACCCATTTATTCTAGTTTTTAATTCTGTCATCATCACAGATAACTCAAGTAGACCTTAGATAAGTTATTATCCAGACGTCTTTTAAAACATATGTACTGCTGCTGGGCCATATCTCCTTCTTTTTATGCTTGGGCAATTATTGATATTGATATTGATATTGTTATTGTTATTTTTTCTGAGAGTAGGACTTTTTTGTTTCTTTTTAAATGTAGAATTATTAGCTTAAATCTGCCTTATCAGTAAGTTCTGGGATTTGATTATTTAATTCATCTTAGTATCACTTTAGGACCAGGTTTTTGTCCTCAGAATTTAATTATATATATTGAAACTAAGTAGGAGAGGGTCCTATCGTCCATCACCAGCAAACTATGTCCTGGCTAACTCTGGTGGTCACTCAGCCTTTATGAATTTCCTTGACAGTATGCTTTTCCACTTCATACTGTATCACTTTATAGATAAATAAATCAATATAAATAATTTAAATGAAAAGCCATCAGATATTCAACTCTAATTGAAGATTTACTATATCAAAAAGTGTATATAAAAAATTTGAAGACTTGGTCG